GCGCGCTCCTCGGCGCACTCGCTCCGGCCCGGGCGTCCGGAGACCCGCGCCGCCGCAGGCCCGCGGTGAGCAGGTAAGGACCGCCCGCTGCCCCTGCCTTCCACGCCCCGCAGCCCAGCGCCAGCTCCAGAACCTTCGCCCAGCGGGGACAGGGGACGCCCTCCTCCAGCCTGGGGTCTCTACGGGGTCGGAGCGGACCCACGCGGGCCGGAGCTCCTGAGTCCGAAACGAAGCGCTCTCCCGCGGCTGCCGCCGCTTCCTGCATGTCACCCCGCTTCTCCGTGACCAGGGCCATTGCTTGGGGCGACTGATCCCCCGATCCCTGCAGCCCAGTGGGGTGGGGGACGACCCGTCTTGCGCCTCTCCCGGCGCCTAGAAGGGACAACCATGGACAGGGATGACACTGCGGCCAGAGGGACCCCAAGGGACCTGAATCCCTTGGGAACGCGTCTGCGTGGATTTGGAAGGCATCCCTAGAGGGTCCCTCGGGACGAAGTACCGCAGTGTGCACGGGGTCTGAGGGGTGGGCAAAGAATGCGCTGAGGTAAGGACCACTGCAGGATGACCCTCTGGATAAGCATGCGGGATGGTTCAAAAGAGCTAGTCCGTCGGTTTCCCGCGGTGCAAGGGGTTGTGTTAGGGATGCCTGAGCTTTGGCTGTCCCGTAAGGAAACGCCCTGTGGGGCCTGTGACAGAAATGCGGCCTCCCAGGCCGGCTGAAGTGGGGTCCCTGACGCCTACCTTAAGGCCGGCTCCTACAGCAGCCGCGGGCTGTGTGTGTGTGTGTGTGTGGCGGGGGGTGGCATCCTCAACCTGTGCGGGCTGGGAGATCAGGAGGGACCGAGAGCCTCAGGAGGGAGCCCAGCCGGAAGGTGATGGCATTTCAAGTGGAGCACTTAGGTCCCTCCCGGCAGATGTTAGGGTTGGGATCCTGGGGCGCCGCTAATTCTTCAGGCCCTTTCTGTATCAGCGCAGGTGCGTCAGACTCCCTTTCTTTAATTCCCCCAGCCTTACAGTGTCCTTGCCTCCTTCCACACCCCCAACAAAGACGAAAACAAGACAGAGTATTTGGCTTTCCTGTGAGCAGTCCTGGGCGGTGGAGGGTGGGGGAGGCTGATGGTGGAGGTAAGAAGGGGCTACACACAGGATATCTAGGGTAACTTGCCCTGGGGTTGCCCTGGGCCTTCCCCATCCTGAAGGTCAGGCTAAAGGCTTTGGTGGCCCAGCCTTCCGAAGAGGATGAGAGATTGCATTTGAGCCTGGGAGTAGGGGCAGCCAGGGACAACTAGGTGTTATCAGGAAGCCCCCTTCTGAGTGGGCTGGTGGAACTCCCTGTCCCCTGCAGAATCTGGGGCTCCAGCTTCTCCCTGACCTTGGAGAGAGCAGGCAGAGGTGCCATTCTGAGCAAAAGCTGAAATCTGAACATAAAAATTAGAGACAACACAGTGGGGTGGGCCTTGGACCAGGTCTTCAATCTGTTCATCAACAAGTGTGTGTGTGTGTGTGTGTGTGTGTGTGTGTGTGTGTGTATGTGGTGACCAGGGACCTGGTCCTAGTGGTGAGACATCAGAGATGTCTCTCCCATGGTGGGGTGTCCGAGACAAGACCTCTGGGAGTCTGTTTCCTTGTGCAGGGAAGGTGGGTGCCTGCAGGGAGCTTCTGGAAGGGCCCTTTCCTGCCCCCTAGGACCACGCAGACCGTAGTGCGCATAAATATCTTTTCATGTAGAAGGTTCTGTTTGGTGGGGGGCTGGGGGTTGGAACACAGTTTGGGACCCATCCTTTTCCCCAAGGCACCCCTCTCTGCTGTGCTCCTACTTTGGGACACTCCCTTAATTTCAGTGGGTCTTTACAGATCAGCATATGTGATTAGAGGTAGCTTAGGCTTGAGTGTCGCAGGTTACTGGCCTCCCCGGGGTAAACACTTCATTGACCAAGGGCTGGCATTGACGAAGTGGAGCCACCGCATGCTGTCTGCCAGAGGGCAGGACCACATGTGGTAAGCGCAGAGTATGAGCTCAGGTCAAGGCCAGGGGGCCTTGCTTACCTGAGCACCACTAACCATGGAGCTGACATTCAGGTGAAAAGAGTTTCCTGTCCTGGGAAGGTCTGTGAGCAGAGGTGTGATGCCCCAGTTGGGAACCCACAGTCACCTTGGAATAAAAGAGTCTAAGACGCCCTGGTCTGACAGGGTTGGGCCTAGTGGCCCAGCTGCCTTGGCAACATGGAGGCTGGAAACTCCGCAGCTGCGATGTGTTTGTACTGAGCTCTGGATGCCGTCAGAGGCACACGGTGACAGCCACCCCCACAGTGACACACAGAGTGGGAGTGACACACAGCTGGGAAGGTATGTAGGTTTCTCATGACACCTGCCAGGGACATGGAACAAATTAGACATTCGATATCAGAAGGACAAACAGACATTGAGGCACACTCTCTCACAGCTTTGAGCTCCTCTGCCTAAAGATCAAAGCCTTCCTGAATGATGGTCTGGCTGCACATGGAATCAAGTAGAGAACTCTGTGTGTGTGTGTGTGTGTGTGTGTGCAAGTGTGAGTGTGTGTAAGTGTGTGTGTGTGTGTATGTGTGTATGTGAGTGTACACTGAGTTGCAGGAATCCAGGAGAAGGATCTGCAGGCTTTTCTGGTAAATATAATAAATATATTAAGCTAGACAACTATAGACAACATGAAGATAAAAACAAGGCATGGATGTGTGCTAATTAACTTTATTTGCGAGTACTGAGTATTTGAATTTCGTGCAGTTTCTATGTGTTGTAAAATATGCTGCTTCTTTTAATTTTTATTGACCATTTAGAAATGTACAAACCATTCTTGGCTCCCTGGCTGTACAAAAATAGGCAACAGGCTGGATCCAACTGGCCGAAGGGTTTGCCAACTCTGAGGCTGGAAGGTGAGGGACAGGGAAGGGGTAAGAGTCTGAGGAAGCGAGGCCCTTGGTGCTGGAAGCCCCAGATGCCCGGAGCAGCTGGGGGCTTTCCTCCAGCACCAGGAGCTCACAGTGCCGGTCTGTTGGATGGGTCAGACCCAGGAAGGGCACCTGCAGTCCGTAACACTCCACCCCAAGGCAGCCTCCCCTTTGTGAGATATGTCCCCACTCAAGGGACAGTGGGGACATCATTTGTGAAAAAATAACCGAAGTTACTGCAGCTCGCTTGCTTCATGGAACAACCTCCGGTGTCCCTGGCTCCCACGGAACGGTGCTGTCTGTCAGTTCATTCCCTATCTCCAGGTGTCTTGTGATGTCCCTCAACACCGTGAATCTCTTTCCCAAGCCTTCTGCAGGCAAGCTCTGTGGGCGTCCATCCTGTGACCTGTGTGTGCCAGGTACGCAGCTGGCTCACACCCTGGCACTGGTGGTCAGCGCAGACGGAGGGGGGGTCTCTGGCCAGTTGGCAGCCACTCCTGTCCTGGGCTACACTGTGTGTGCTCGGGCCCCCCAGCAGCACCTCCAGCTCCTTCACCCCATCTCTCCTCTCTGTCTCTCTCTCTCTCTTTGTCTCCTCCCTTCCTTCCTCCCTCTTTCTGTCTTTCCCCCGTTTCCTTCCCTCTTCTTCCTCTGGCCTCATCGCTTTTCTGCCTCCTCCTTTCCTGCTCCTCTAACCTGGCTGGGAGGGGGCAGTGCACCCTGACTCTTCCAGGACAGGTGAGGTCCCAGATGTCCCAGTACTCTCGGGTGTGAAAGGGGCTTCCTCACAGGACACTGTTTAAGGGAGAAGGCCTTGTGAGCCGACCTTGGAGAAGGTCAGTCCCCAGCCCTCTGCAATTGAGTGGGAGGACACTGCTGTCTGGTACACTTGCCTGGTGTCTCCCTTTGCTGTCCCCAACCCAAGTCCATGGGAAATGGAGGGCACAGGCGGAGTCTCCCAGTGCAGACACTGGCAGCTCGGAGATGGGAAGGTTTGGACACTGAAGAGGGCACCAGCATGAACGGCCCCTTTGTGGGCGCTGGCCTCGCTGTAGAGGAGGGAGGTAGAAAGGCTGCTCCTCCCATGAAGCAGCCTCTGTCCCTTCCAGGGGAGAGCGTGAGGGTCAGTGTTTCACCTTTCAGCCTTCCCTCCTGGTTCCCTGGCATGGAGGGAGTGGAGGAAGTGGGGTGGGTCCCGCTGCAGTCTCCTTCGGGCAGCATGCAGAGAGCAGAGAGCAGGGGAGGTGAGCGATGCTTTTCCTGGCTGTCTCCTGCCTGGTGTCCAAGCTCGGTGCCCCTCTGTGAGGAGGAGGAGCGCTGAGCAGAGGCTCGGATGGCCCCATCCCCAGGCAGGGCAGATGAGGGACCCAGGGCTGTATGGCTGAGGAAAGGGAGGAGACAGGGCTGTCTTACACACCCCCATGGAGCTTCCATGGGGCACAGGAAGCCATGCTGCTCAGGGCAATGGGGAGATGCTGGAGCTTCCCTCGGAGGCCTGGGCTGTCTGTGCCTGCTGAGATGGTGCAGGAGGGCTCCGCCAGGGGCAGCAGTCGCATGGTCTGCAGGTTCCTCCTGCCCCAGTATGGACAGTGGCAGCAGCCATGAGTCACCACCTGTTCTGTGTGCTGACTGATAACGTGTCTTCTGGGTGCGGGGCCACAGTGACCTGGGCTTCGGCTCGTGGGAGGACATGACTGGTGTTGTTACTTCCGGCTCCTGGCATTTGCTAGGCTCATGGGGCCTAGGAGGGCAGGCCTGCCTTGATGGGAAGGGGGAATGGTGTGTCCCTGGGTTCCCCAACTTCCTTAGTTGTAGTATCTATTTACATGTCCAGTTGCAGGGAGGTAAACCTCCAGGACTCCAAGTGTGGCCTTGGGAAATGTCTCCTGCTCTCTGACTTCAGTTTCCCCATCCCTGTGATGGGTAGATGGCCTTTAAAGTTTCAGATCTGAGTGGTGTGTTTATAACTAACTCCTTCTGAAGATAGAACATGCTTAGATGCATGGGCAGAGAGTAGGAGAGGCATAAGGGGACAAAAGGGGGCTACCAGGAGGCTCAGAGTCCTTCTTCCTTTTACCGATCACAGAGAGTAGAAGAAGCACAGTGATGTACAGGCTTTGAAGCCACATAGCTTGGGGTCACTTCCTAGATCTATCATGTACTTGCTGTGTGGCCTTGGGGATAGTTGCTTAGCCTCTCTGTGCCTTAGTAACCTCTGCTATAGAATGAGAGTAGTATAAAAAATATTTCACAGGTTTCATGTTAAAGGAGTTAATGTTTATTGCTGGAGAGAGCACCTGACTTACTGAGTTGTTTACTAAGTGTCAACCACTAGCAAACAAGGGCACAGTAGGCCTGCTGTTCCCATCCTGAATGTGACACGGGGCTCTGGGGCTGGGAGTGACAGCAAGACTGTGCAAAAACCTGACCATAAAGTGGTAAGGTGACAATAACTGTTAACAGGTGTGTGGCCTTCAGTGAGTGTCAGAGTATCATATGACTATTGTATGTACTCTGTGGTTTATTTATATAAATTTGCTGATGCCTTGCAGTAGTATCTGTGAGACAGCCATTACTATTATTCCCATTTTACAGATGAAAAAATGGAGGCACAGAAAGGTTAGGCAGCTACCCTTAAATCCTTGGGCTAAAAATGCTAGCAAAATGACTCCCAGGTCTGCCACACTAAATGCTGGGGGTGGGGCGGGTTAGCTGTCCTCAAAGCCAACTGATCGCAGCATCTAGACGCAGACCTGAAAGAGAACCTGGGAGAGAACCAGTCATCCTGAGATATTCTGCATCCCTGTCCAAGCAGTCCGGGTCCCTCCTGGAGGCAGGAATGTGTAGCCCCAGGCTGCCCCTGTGGCCAGATCCTCACTAGCAGCCTGGGGGAGCCAGAATGCAGAGGGAGCCACAGCGGAGGGAAAGGGCAGCAGCCCATGGGACTGGGCAGCCAACTCAGGCAGCCGGGAGGGCTGTTCTGGGCCGGAGGAGCCAGGCGTGTTTTCTGAACTGGGCCTGGGACAAATGGCCAAAGAGTGCAGAGTGTGAGTGCTGGCCAGCGGGGTGGGGCTGGCACAGAAGAGACTGGAGTGGCCTTGGGGGATTACTGCCATGGAGAGGCTGCAGGAGGCCATCCCAGCGGTCCCCAGAGGTGGCAGAAGGGAAGTCAAGGCCCATGGGCTCCAGGTTCTATCTCTCCTTGCTTTTCCGGGGAGGGCCCGTGTCCATTTGGGCAGGAGGCGGACTCTAGTAAGAGGAGCAAGAGAGGTCCACAGTCAGAGTCAAGTCCAGAGGAGGCACCGTGTCGAGAGTCAGCCCCAGTTCCTTTACCCAGTGCCACTGGGCTGGGGCAAACCATGCCCTGGTTCCCCTGGTTGCATAAGCGCTCTGGTGACAATGCAGAGAGCTGGGCTGGGCTGGGCTGGGCTGGTACCTTGTCTTGGTTTGGGGCTTTTTCAGTCCTCTGCAGCTCTGCTGGAGGAACTGGCCCACCTAGAGCAGGTGAGCATCCGCAACCCTGGGCCTCCCTGCGTTTATCCTGCCTGCACCCATGTCTGCATGGATCTGCGTGTCTCGGCATGTCTGTTGCTGCCTCAGACTGAGTATGGTCACCAGCGTGCACACGTCCGGTCTGGTGAATGCATTTGAACAGCTGCAGGCTGTGTGTTTTCCTCTGTGTGTGCCTCTGTTCTGTGCCTGTGTGTGTGGGCTCTACCAGGAGGAGTGTGGATGTGTGGAGGTGTCCCGGGGTGCCTGAAGGAATCGCCACCTTTGCACCGTGTCTTGGAAATCTGTATCGATACTTTCAAGAGGGAGCCCTAGGGGTAGAAGTTTCTTTGTCTCCATGCAGTTGTCCTTCCTTGATGTTCATTTCTGTGGACCTGTTTCTTCCGTGTGTGTGTCTGTGTGTGTGTGTGTGTGTGTGTGTGTGTGTGTGAGAGAGAGAGAGAGAGACAGAGAGAGACAGAGACAGAGAGGGAAGGAGGGAGGGAGAGAGAGAAGGAGAGAGGGAAGGGGAGAGAGAGGGAGGGAGGGAGGGAGAGAGAGGAGGAAGCGGGGAGCTGGCACCTGCCCTGCCACCATGCCCTCTCCACTGGCACCTGCCAGCCGCAGCTGTACACCAGTCCTTGTTTCTAATGAAGGGGCAAACAGCACCTTTATAAGCCTAACTCTGCATGATGTCAGCTGGAATGCCTGAACCAGCACTGGCGCTGGCTGGCTGCTGTGTGGGGAGGTCTGTTTTCTTGGGCAGGGTGTCTTTTGCAAGCTGCACAGGGACTCCAGTGACCAGCAGGTTGCACACTGGGCCTGGAGGTCACAGTGTGGGGAGGAGGCAGTGATGGGGTAGTCCTGCTGCCATCTCAGGGTATCCTGAGGACCAGGAGCTGTGTTATCACGTCTTTGGCTTGAGGTGGTCCAAGGCGCAGGAGGGTTACCCCTGATCTCAGAGGGCTTCTCCCTTGTGGTAGCTTCTCTTTCCCCTTGGCTGGCGGGAGAGGTGGTCTCTAGCCTGCCTGAAGGTCCTGGGAGCTGGCACTCCCCCATCTCAGCCAGGCAGGTTGGAAGGGCGTCTCTCTGCAGGCCAGGACACGGAGGTGACTGAATCTTTTGGGGACTACTCATGCAATGCCAGAGGCAACCTGTGGCCACCAGGGTGTAGAGGGCCCTGGGAGGGGTGCAGAAACAGAAGTCTGAGTGCCAGGCATAGCACAGGCCTCCCTCCTCTGCGTGGTCCCCTCTGGCCTGCAGGAAGGGGCTGACCCTGCATCACTACTGCCTTGGGGTTCTCAGAGCCTCTCCAGTACCCCAAAGGGTCTCCAGGTGAGCTGGGCTGGTGGAAAAGAAGGGCTCCTTTTTGTAAAGACTCCCAGCAGCCATCTTTTCCCCCTTTTGCAAGCTTGCTTCCCACCATCTGGAGCTCAGGGAGGTTGTGGGGAGGCCAGAGGTTAGGGCTAGGCAGAGAGCCAGGTTAGGGGACTTGCGTGACAGCAGCTTTGCACACTGGGTATGTGTGTGAGGCCTGAAGGTTGGGATGCCTGGGGCAAGGCTGGTGCCAGCCCTTACCACCTCCTGAAGCAGGCATGTGTGGGTCAGTGGTGCCTTGACATGGGCCCCAAACTTTTAAAAAGCAATTAGTAATAACAATTTCAAACTAGGCCTGTAGTTTTGTTCTACTCTATCACTCTGCCAGTGCCAGTTTAGCAGTGCCCACCGGGTGGCTGCTGTGCTATCCCTTTCCTTGTCACCAATGGTATTTTAAGTGATGTTTTGGTGAACAGCTTTACGTGTGCTTCTCTTTGTCCAAGTGTGGAGTCTCTGAGCTGCAGAGTGTATGTATTCAGGATCAGTTTTAGGAGCAGAGTGCACTCCTCTGCTGAGAAGGAGAAGGGCTCCTGGGTCTCCTCATTCTCCTGTTGGTTTCTTCCAGGGCCCAGACCTGTGTCCCTGTCCCTGGGAGCCCCTGCTGCTCTCAGGCTTAAGCACACAGTCCCTGTTTTCTGTCACTCTATCCTGAGAGCAAAGTGGGGTAAGGTAGGGTGAGAGAAGTGTGTATCTGTTAGGGTGCCAGCCTGGGAGTTTGGGACCAAGAGGGCATGAGTTGGATGGATGTTCATGTCTCCCTTATAAAACATCTGAAGTGAGGAGGGCCACCTAGGCTGGAGGGGTGCCTCTGTGCCACGAGACCACTCACTGAGCTTGGCTGCTTTCAAAGTGTCCCTCCCCACCCTCTCGGCTGATGTCTTTTCTACACTGGCAAGGCTCACTGCAGCTCTTAGGGAGGGATGGAGAGCATGCCATGCCTGCGTAGACCAGGGCTGTAGGCAAAGCTCACATTACTGTCAGCCACATCTTATAGGTGCCAGTGTGATCACATGCTCACACTTGAGTGTGAGGAGAGGAGGAATATCACTTCTAGATGGGCATGCATGTGTCAGACACAGTGTCGAGAATGGAGAGAATGCCAAGATTCGGGGTGACAGCTGGTCTGCTGCTGAGGAGGAAGCCCTTCCTGACCAGCATAGTAAGCTGATGGGCTGAGCCAGTGTGGTCACTGCGTCCTCGCAGGTTGGGGGCTCAGCACATTTGCGGAACACGAGGTAAAGATAGACGGACATGGGCATGGAGGAGGAGGTTCATCCTCGGAGGCTGGGAGGTAATGACTCATAGGATCTTGCTTTTGCTTCCTCTGTAGCCTGTGGACACCTCGGACTGACGGGAAGAAGGGACGGGAGGCCGGTTGTGCTGGCTGAGAAGTGCCATGGCCGGCAACCTGCAGGTCCATCTGGCTGCTATCCTTCTGTTGGCTGTGGTAAGGGCCTGGGACCCTCCCCTCCACAGCTCTTCTGGAGCTCAGCCTCACCTGAGCCACCATTCCTGAGAACTAGTGTCTTTATCTAAGCCATTCAGGTGCTGGTAGCTCTGCCATCAGCCTCATTGGACTACCCAGTGCCTTCCTGTGAAACAGAGATGCTCCCCTTCCTCTTGACCCTGGACTGACTGCACAGCAAATTATAATACATTTCCCTCCCTTTCTCCCTCTCTTTCTCTGTCTTTCCCTGCCTTGCTCTCTCCTTGTCTTTCCCTTCTCTTCCATTCAGATTGAACCCAGGGCCTTTCCACTGTGCTACATTCCTAGCCTTTTAACAATTTTTATTTTATTTTTGTATTCATATAGGGTCCTGCTAAGTTGAGAGGCAGAGGGTTGGGATTATAGGTGTACCAAGCCTGGCTCACAGATTTCAAATCTATTATGATGGTGACATCTGTGGCAACTTGTAGAGTTGTATCATATATAACCTGCCCAGCTGTGTGCAAAGACCTCGGTTAAGGTTGATCTTCTGGTCCTCAGCCTATGAGTCCCTGTCAGATCTGAACTCAGAACTCTCTGCCCACTGCTCATGTCTCCCTCAAGGAAGATTGAGGACAGGGAGGGGGAAGAAGAGTTTTCCAGGATCAGCACCACCGCTCGCTCTGGGAGTGTGGACTGGCAGTGAGTGAGGCTGTCTCCAGAGTCTTGGGTACCAGTCCTGCCTCTGTCCCACCTACCTGTGTGACAGATGAGTCCGTCCCTCTTCTGGGAGCTGCCTGCAAAGCTGGGAGCAGCTGGGATTGCATGGATCCCAAACATGGCCCATGACAGCTCAGCTGCCTTGTGACTGCCTCATACTCACTGATAGTCCCCTGGGGAACCATCCGGGCCCTGAGGATTAGAGTTAAAGTGACAGCATTCATAGGCAGCTGTCATGATAGTAATGCACTGCTATGAAGTCTCTTGGTTTGAGCTAGAATCTATATCTGCCACTAACTGGCTGTGTGACTTTGGGCTGCAGTTTCTTCTTTGAGTCTCAGTTTCCCCTTCTGTAAATGAGAGTGGCCTCACTAAAGGCCAGCCCTGCTCCCTCACCAGCCACAGCTGGGGGTGTACCTCCTTCCTTGGTGAGCCCACAGAGAGCTGAGACAGTGCTCTCTCACAGGGTGCTCACTCGCCCCTGTACAGTCTGAACACCTGGGTACAGAGCCTGGCTCTACAGCCTGCTGAGCCAGGTGACTTTCAGCAGGTTACTTCTGTTTCCATGTCTGTAAAACAGAAAATGATTATGAATAGTAGCCACAGGACACTTGAGAAATATACATACATAGACATAGTCACACGGCATTCAGAATAATGCCCATGTCTGGTAATGAGTGATAGGCATTTGTTGATAGTATTATAAATTGTGGGAACTGAGGCCTTGGAGGGGAATGGGATATTCTAAGGGTATTCATTGAGTCGGTGACGGATGGGAGCCCTCAAGTTATGTGCGATGCGAAGCTGTGGGATGGCCCTGGGGTCGCTCTGCCACTCTCCTCCTCTTGTTTCTGTCCCAAGCCCCTTCCCCTGACCCGAGACCATGGTGGGGTTTAGCTGGGAGGGCTTGTCATGCCCTCCTGGCCTCCTCCCACCATCCACCCTATGTATCCTCCGCAGGCTGCTGCCATGCACTCGGACTGCATCTTCAAGAAGGAGCAAGCCTTGTGCCTGAAGAAGATCCAGGGTGCCTACGACCTGCTGGGCTTGAATGAGTCCTTTCTGGGTGAGTGGAGTGGCAGGGGGAGCACAGTGTCCCTAGCACATCAGAAGCATTTTTCTTACCTGGGTCGGCTTGCAGACAGTCGTGGAGGGCGCAGGTCTCTGGGGCTTCTGCAACTTCTCTGGGCAGTGACACTAGAGTTGCCCTGCGTGGGGTCAGTCTGCCCTGGTGGCTGCAGCTATCTTCTCTCCTGTGGGAGAGATAGAGCTGGTACCTGGCCTGGGCAGTGGCTTTCAGAGAGTTTGCTACAGGTCACCAGGGTCCGGTGGCAGCAGGCACACAGCTGTTGCCCGTGGCTAAGCCGTGGTACCCTTGGCCAGCCCAGGGCAGGGGTATGCATTCATCTCCTCTCTCCTCTGCTCATTTCATGAGCCAGGGAGAAAGGCAGCAGGCACTTCTGTCACAAAGACTGTCCTTTCGGGCTTCCCCTAGGAGCAGTGAGCATTCAGGGAGGAGGGACGGACACCATGGCCTGTGCTGGATGAGGCCACACACTGCAGGACATGCAGCATCCTTTACTTCTCCCCTTAAATGCTTATAACACCCCAGATGCCAAAGATACCCAAAAACTGTCTTCCAACATTCCACAGGTCCCAAGGGAGTGGCACAGCTCCGGTGAGACCTAGGGGTCCTAGGTAACCCTCTTCTCCCAACTCCTTGCCATGGGAGTGGGACCTGAAGGCCCACAGAGGCCACGGTGCCCTCTGCTTCCTCCTCAGGGGCAGTGGGGTGGGGGATAAGGGTGGCATCCTGGAGGCCAGCCTCTCCTTCCTCCTTCCTCCTTGCTGAAGGGCTGGATATGAGTCCCCGAGGGTGGGACTGGTGCTCTGGCCGGAGAAATGCACTCCTCCCTGTGGATCCACCCAACTCTTCTGAACACCATCTGCTTGAAGACTTTATTAATCTGCAGCCCAGTTAAATGCAGCGGTCCCGCTGGACTGAGCTCTGCAGCCAGCTGCTCCTGGGTGAAGGCTGGGAAGAGAGCAGTTCCAGCGATGCCAGCCTTCCCTGTGGGCCGAGCACTTGCTAAGGTCAAGAGTGAACTCAAGGCCCCACCAACTAGGGAAACTGAGGCAGGGGCCCAGGTGTTGTACAGCCCAAAGAATCCCAGACTATCTGAAGACTCTGCCATTCAAATCTCTTGTTTGGGACACGAGGCCATGCCTGTTAGACCACCAGAGGGGCCTGCAACCCAGATGTCCTGCCTCTAGTGCCCCAAGGTGCTGCAAACAGGCATCCAGGAAGGGAGAGGTGGAGTAGGGTGGGGCAGCGACCCCAGGGGGGCTGTGTGCTGTTCAGCCCCCCACTCAGCGTACTGAGCCCTGGTTGAGGACAAAATAGTCTTGCCCTCGGGGATGGCTGGCTCATGTGAGAGGTGGATGAGAGGATGGATGCCCTCTTTGGAGGGCAGTGCTGGGAGATCTCACTCAGCGTGTGCTGGGAGGGCAGGGAAGAGCATGTGGAGAAGGTGGCACTGAAGCTCACTCCTTGAGCTTGCATGGTGCACCTCAGAATCTCAATGCTCTGGAAACCCAGCATGGGCACCTTAGTGAATTAGTGAGACCCTGTCTCAAAAAATAAAAAAGAGCTGGGATGTACTCAGTGCAAAGGCCCTGTGTTCAATCCCCAGGACTACAAAAAGAAAAAGAAAAGAAAGGAAGAAAGAAAAAGAAACTGGCTCCCAGGTGTTTGGGCCTGGCTGCACATCAGAACCTCCAAGCGGGGGCTGGTGGAGGAGCATGCTCAGGCCACAGTCCAAGCCGATTGCATTGTCACAGGCACTGTAACATTTACAAGCTCCATAAAGTTCTAGTGAGCAGCAGAAGCTGAGAACCCCTGTGCTGGGCCCAAGGGACCGGCAGGTATATGATGGAGGGATGGATGAGAGAGCACTCTGGGGCAAGGAATCTGTGAGAAAGAGAGGCCTGGAGGCAGGAGGCTGACCTATGGGGCCCCGAGTAACCCGTATCTGAAGGCCTGGGAAACTGAGTGAGGAGGGGACAGCTGTGCATCTCATGTCCATGTCTACCACAGCTGGGACCCTGTGAATCAGGGCTGACCATATGTCACTCTTAAATCCCGAATTTGGTGGGGCACCTAAAGCTTGCGGAATAAACTCACCCACCCACTGCTCATTCATTCATTCATTCATTCATTCATTCATTCATTCACTTACCCATCCTCTCCCCGACTCATAGTCACCCTTGTTCCCTCACTCTCTCCTTAGTCTGGTCTGTGTATGCTGGAATCTGAGGTGTCTGACCTGGCTGGTGGAGGGCAGGGTACTCAGGGGTAGGGGAATGGGGAGGGGATGCAGAGAGATTGCGCTCACTCTGGGACCCCATTTGCAGTGGGGAGGGGCGGAGTCAGTGGTGGGGGATGCAGTCAGGAAGCAAGAGCTTCCATCTGGGCAGGGTCAGTGCAGGTAGTTGTGCCGGCAGCGGGGGGACTGCTGGGAGGAAGGCTGGGTCTGGCTGGGTCTGGTGGAGTGCAGAACAAAGGGTTCTCTCAGGAGCTGTGGGGAGAGCTCTCCTCTAACCCTAGTTCCCAGAAAGGAGAAGAGCCTTTTCCTTCTGTGTCTGCCTGAGGAGGGGTCTCATATCTCTCCTTACCTTTCCCTCTTTGAGTTAGAAGGTAGAGCTCTATAAGACAGGGCTGAGAGTGAATTAAGCAGAAGCAAAGAGCAGTCATTAGGTAGGAAAGAGGAGGAGAGTGAGGGCCCAGCTGGACCACCAACTCCCTGGCTCTTCCCTGCTTTGGGCTGTAAGATCTCCTCTTTTAAAGGGGTGGGGATTGGAATGGACCATGGCCAACACTTACATATAGACTTCCTGTGCCAGGCGCTGTGCTGGAACTCTACTCAACCACCACAGCCTGGGGAGGGGCTGGGTCTGTTACTGCTCTTATTTTATAGATGAGGAAACTGAGATGCAAGAAGGTTATGTACCTTGGTTAAGGACACAGTGCATTAAGGGGCAGAGGATAAACTTGAATTTAGCCTGTTCTCTCAACCACAAGGTCATGCAGACTTGGAAGAACAGTGTACTCTGAGTCCCCTGCACCCCGTGTCCACCTCCACTCCAGCAGCTGGACCTTTGAAAAGCACTTAAGACCTTAATTTTCTTGTCTGCAAAGTAGAGAAAAAATACCTATCCCAAGGGATCACTGCATTAAGTGATCTATTCTGTGCTTTGTGCAAGGGACACTGTGTGTGGCTTTTGCTAAGTACTCTGCAGGGACTGCAGTTGGTGCTCGGCATCATCTCACAGTGCTGAGGGTCTCCAGGGTCATCTGTCTTCCAGTAGATCCTAGTTCTTGTGGGGAGTGTAGACTGCTCTAGGCCACAAGTCAGTCCATATGGGCCTATATGGAAAGGCTTTCTGCAAGAGCTGAGGAAGGCCTGGGACCAGATCTGGGCTCTAGGGGGCAGATGAGAGCCAAGGAAAGAGGCAAGTGAAGGTAGAAAGAGCAAGGCTGGGGTGAGGGTGCATCTGGACTGTTCCAGAGCTGTGTTCCCAAGCACTGCTCTGCACTGCAGCTCAGGAGGAGCCAGGAGACACCCCGCCTTCAGCTGTCCTCCTTGCTGGAGGGAAAGGTCAGACAGCGACAGTGGAGGACATGGAAACGAGGCTGGAGAGAGGAGCTGGAGAGGAGGGCCTGAGTGTGTGCCCAGAAGCCCAAGCTCTTAATTGCACTGAGGTTGGGGGTGTTTGTTTTGTGAGAGCTGGGATAGCAGACAGTCTCAGTCTCCCATGGCCTGACCCATGTCCTAGTGAAGTCTCTACTCTCCCAAGACGAACTCAGAAGCTAGTGGAAGACAGACGGCCATGGGCCATGGAGACCCTCAGCACTGAGCTGATGGGGAAGGAGAGGGGGCAGGGCAGGGCGAGGGGAGCCCACTGGGGAGGCCCAGCTGAGAAAGAGGTCCATTGGCCTATGGCCTGTTGGCTCATCTTGCAGGCTGAGGTGGGAGAACCTTCCTCACCTGCAGGAGGTGC